AGTACTGAATAAGACTGCCAGCTCTCTTGGCTGCTGGCTCCCTTCTAACTTGCAGTATGCCACAGCTTGTGCTTCAGATCTGAGCCTGCTTGGCTCCTGCAGTCCTTAACACCTTTGCTCTCTAACTCAGTAAATGAGGGAACCAATTCCCAGTGCCATGCTCCTCTGGTGTGAACACCAGTGTCCAAAAATAGGACACCTACACTTGTGCCCAGACAGTGGCAGTGCTGGAAGCACCACAGGACAGGTGACAGATGGATCCCAGCTTTCTCCCACCAGTCAGACCTGTGCAGTGCAGCGCATAGATGGAGACCTGGGCCAAGAAGCTGCGTGTTCATCTGGGCTCAGTCTCCCCTCTGTGCTCAGCGACGCTCCAAGCACATGCCACCTTTTGGGGGATGCTAAACGAGGTTTAGCACCATGAGGTCTGCCGCAGGCGAGGGCTCCTTCCAGAGACTTTGCCGCCTGTCAAAGCGCAGGTTTGGGGGGGATGCAGCGACTCTGGCTGCGTGGCCCTGGCTGCAGAGGGGGCTGAGCTTTGCTCCACGACCCCGGTGCTCCGCTCACCCCGCGCTCGCTGCCGCCTCGTCGAGAGCCGCCGGCGCGGTGCCCGCACCAGCTCCGTGCGAGCGGGGCATCGCGGGGGCATCGCGGGGCTCTCCGGGGAGGCTCCCCCGCATTCCCGCTCTCCAGCGCTGCCCCCGGGGACCAGAGCTGCCTCCGGCTGGTGCGGAGCCGCGGGTCCCCCCGTGCGCTCCCCCCTCCCACGGCCCCCCATCGCCTTCCCCACGCGTGCGGCACCGCGGGGACTCCGCGCCGAGCGCGGGGCAGCCGGGGCAGCCGGTGCGGTGCCGGTGCGGTCCCGCCGCCGCCCCCCGCTCACCTGCACCTGCATGAAGGAGCCGCGGTAGAAGCAGCAGGCGGCCGCGGACAGGGCGCTCCACAGGCTGCACCGCTCGGTCATGGCGCGGCGCGCCCGGCGGGGGCTGCCCCGGCCCGGGCTGCACCGCCGCCGCTGCCGCCGCCGCCGCCGGGCTTCAATTTCAGCCGCTTCCCCGATTACCTCATCCCTTGTCGGCGGCGGAGGGGCGGGCGCGGTGCGGCAGCTCCGCCCCGGCCCGCCCCGAGGGGCCGCCCCGGCTCCGGGGAACCGGCACCTCGAGGGGAACGGGCGCCCCGGCTCTTCCTGAGCCCTTTGGGGACCGGCTCCTTTGAGAGGAACCGGCATCTCTGAGGGGTCGGGCATGGAACCGGCATCCTGGTTGTCCCTGCCCTGAGGAGAAGTGAGAACCAGCTCCTCTGAAGGGAACCGGCACCCCAAGGGGATCAGGCAGCCCCGAAGGAAACCTCCATCCCGGCTCCCTGCGCCCTGGGGGGAACTGGGAACCAGCTCCCCTAAGGGGAAACGGTATTCCCGTGTCACAAAGGGAACCAGCATCCCTGAGGGGATCAGGCACCTCAGCTGCCTGTGCCTTGAGGGGAACTGGCACCCCTGGGGGAATCGTGCACCCCTGAAGGGAACCAGCACCCCGGCTGCCCGTGCCCTGAGGGGAACTGGCTCCTCTGAGGTGACTCAGCTCCTCAGAGGGGAACCAGCACCCCTGAGGGAAACCAAGAACCCCGACTGTCTGTGTCCTGAGAGAAACTGGCTCCTCTGAGGGAATCAGACACTGCTTTTTTCCCCATCCCAAATCCACCTGCTTTTCCCAGTGATGCACATGGGTCGAGGGCTGCCTTGCCCTCACCCACCCTGTCTTCCTTCACCCTGTCTGGTGGTGCCTTTCTGGGGGAGACACCCGTGCCCACCTCACACGGCGGGGAGCTGGCTGCCTGTTTCCTGCGTAGGCCGTCTCCGACTGGTGTTTAATTAAGGCTCCACTTCGGTTTAATTAAGGCCATGGTATCACGTATGGGATGTGCGAGGCAGCACTGATGACTCAAAGCATTGCTCCAGCCTTGACTCTTGAATAAGCCTCCCAAATGCCTGCCTGAACCCACTGCCCTGCACTGGGGATGGGCAGGGGCTCCTTCGGCCTCAGGCAGTTACATGGACCCACATCCTGCTGTTCTCACTCCAGGTCTGGAGCACTGCATGGCCTGGATTTGGCTGTGCTTTGGTAAGGGGGGGCTTCAGGTTCCCATCTGCAAAGCATGTCCTGGCCCAAGGACCCCCCTGCCTCCAGGGCGATGCTGTGACCTCGGAGAGGTATTCCTGCTGCTACTGACCACAGAACCCTGCAGCCTCCCCACTAATTAATTCAAATGAGTCCCTCGCATCCCCAGGCAAGGAGACAGCAGTCAGGGCTGATGAGATACAGGTCCCTGCGTGAGCGCAGAACAAAGAGCTCAGAGGCGCTGGCCGGGCCCTCGCTCTGCCCCTGATTTTGCAGGGGAGAGAGAAGAGGGGAGAGCAGCAGGACAGGGATGAGGTGTGGGAGAACAGGGACAGCACACAAACTGCAGGCAGGGAACACAGGGCAGCAGGTGCTCACAGATCCCATGGGTGCCTGCAGCCCTGCCGGGATGGGCAGGAAGCGTGGGCTCTCCTCCTCGCCTCTTGCCTGGGGCTGAGGGACAGAGCAGATGGCAGCATGCAGGGAGACGCTGCTCCAAAAAGATTCGACGGTGAATCATCCTCCTGCCAAGGCTTCTCCCCGTGATGGGCTCCATGGTTTCCCTCTGAGGCTTTCAGCAACGATGGAGCAGGAGCCTCATGGGGTGCTGCAGGGAGGTGTCCTCCAGCTGTGCTCATGCTGCCCCTCCTCAGAGGGAAGCTGAAAAGCCCTGACTGAGCTTTCGCAGGGATATGTGGCAGCTTCACTGGCTGCTGCTCTCCCGAAGGATAACACCTTTCTGCAGCTCCTTCACCCAAGCAGGGGCCAAAGCTGGGCTGGCTGGGATGTTGAAATACAGAGCCAGGCGTGCAGATCCCCAGGCAGCTTGGAAACACCACCCCTTAGGCCATTATTAAAGCACATTAATTACCAAGTGCTTATTGATCCTGGCTTTCTGACCCTCTCTAGCTCCCAATTGCACCTCTAATCAGGGCAGGCTTTGTGATGGGAGCACTGGCCCTGGCTGGTTTTTGACTGAAGCTCGAGGGCTGATGTTTGGCAGATCCTTAGTGCACACCTGGACACAGACCTGCCCATCAGCCTTTGCTCATGAGGGCTTTGCAGCACGTCCTCTCTCTCCTCCTCACTCTCCTTCACCGACTCTTTCCTTCCTGTCTTGCCATTGCTTGCCCCTCACCGGTGTTTCCCCTCTGCTTGTTTCCCTCCCGGTCACAAGGACCTGTTCCAGTGGCGGGTCCCAGCCCTGTCCTCCCTTGCTCCAAAGGCAGGCACAACAGCCACCTTCCCACCCTGAATCCTGCAGGACCTGGGGCTGAACACTGCTGGGTGCTGAACACCCTGCAGCTGCACGGGCTGCCAGCCAGGCACAGCGCCTGCAATCAGCTGGAGTGTCCCCGTCATCCCGGTCACTCACACTCCAGATAATTACTTATTTGACTAAAATAGCTGCTGTCACTGCAGCCATCAGTTGACCGAAGGGAAGTGGCGTATAAATCACAGCCCGTGGGCGCTGCCTGGACATCACAGGGATGGGTGAGAAATAAGGGCCAGATAGCTCAGATCTGGGATCTGCCTGGATGGTAGGGAATTCTCCTGGCTCACCAAAAAGAGCTCAATCTGAAAGGCAGAGCCATACCCATTGTTCCCCACCCGTGTTGTCTCAGTCTATTAACTCATGAGCCATAAAATGTGCCCATCTCCGAGTGCACACACTGACAGTGCCAGGGCAAACACCCCAAATCATCTTGTTCCTCCCCTCATCACCTCCTTGCTCTTGCAGGACTTGCCTGCATGAGCAGGAGTTTTCCTGCACATCCTGAGGCACCTCACACCAGGACCCTACCCTGCAAAGCCCAGGGTATTGGGTTTTCAGGGAAAAATGAGCTCCACTGCAGCCAGACCCAATACACCCAGTCAGAGCCTCATTGTTCTGGCACACATCCACTTCCAGCCCTGTGAGCTCCCATTCTGCCAGTCCTACACAGCTAAAGGGTGTGGAGAGGAGGACATTCTGCCAGGGGATCACTCTACACGTCAAAAGCCTCATCCAACCCTGCTGCCCGGAGGCTGCCAGTTGCCAGACTCAGCATGTGCGGTCCTCATTAGCCCTATGGATCGTTGTGACTCTCATTAGGAAGAGAAGATGAGCTCAGGGTCCAGCTAGGTCTCCTGATCCTGGCAGTTGGTGCTGCCACAGGGTGTTCCCACATTTCCAGGTCTGGCTACAGCCGCCACCAAGAGCCCCAAGTCCAAAGATGAAGGTTCAGGGCTCTGTACTAACCAGACCACCCAAGCTGGGCACCTCAAGTCACTTCTCAAACAAACACGTCTGCCCCATGGGGCGACTGGACCAACCCTCCTCAAACAAACTCCCCAAAGGCCATGGCATGGCAGTGACCACCCGGGCAGGTTCCAGTGCTCCATGCCCAAACCACACAGCGTCCCTGCCACCCTTCCCCTGCGCCTGCCCGGCGCCCATCGTGCCAGCAGCCTCCTGCAAAAGGGCCGCTCTCCTCCGGAGCCAGGCGCCTCGCTAATGAATTTCTGGCCAGACATGAAGAGTCCTCAGGAATGTTAATAGTTTGCTGGAGGATAAGCAAGAGATTTGGAGAGATTTACACCAACTTTCATGTGACAGCCACGAAAGTGGCTCAAACCCTTCCGTTTCTCTACGTGGGGGCGGAGGGAGGAGGCTGCGTCCGTGGGTGTTCGCAAGTAACTTGGAACACGAAATGCAGGCAGCTCCTGTGGGAGCAGCACTGGGGGGACCATGTAGGGTTGGTGTCTCCTCTGCCTTCCCTGGCCTTGCTGGGAATTTATTCCAGAGCCAAAGAGAGAGCCCAAAGGGGATGGTGGGATGAGGGGTGCAGAGCTGAGCACCCCACTGGGTGTTGGACCTGGGTGAGATCACACTGGGTGTCTTACCTTCACATATTCGCTGCCCGACTCCAGGCCATCGTGGTGGCTAGAAGGAAGCAGAAAAATAAAAATACCTAAGTAAAGAGCAGTAGGTCATGATAATCAGGTCAAAGGTGGTGGTGGCACAGCTCAGGGGAGCAGGGACCTGTGGCCCTTGCCTTGCCATGGGGCTGAGAGCATGGCTGTGGTTTTGGGAGAGGTTCCCAGGGCCCCAGCACTGTTCCTGCCTGCTCTGTGCCCGCTCTCAGCCCAGGGCTTATCCTCCCTAATGCGATCAGAGGAGAATGAGGCCTTTTTAGAGGATCTCTCCCCAAATCGGCTTGGGACTGTGTGAGCTGAGACCCAGCAGCCAGGCTGGGGTCCCCTCAGGTCACAGTGCTGGGGATGCATGCCAAGGTGGGGGACCCTCTGCCCTGTTCCCTGGCAGAGCTGCATTTCCAGTGGGCGGCTGTTGGGACACCACCCAGCCAAGCATTTCTGACTTTATCTATGGCCTCGTGCGACCCCACAGAAATCAAACTCCCACTGAAGCCAGGGCTGAACTGTGACTTCCTGGCTGAGACTGTGAGATTTGCCCTCCCAGCACACAGGCGGTAGAAACTCCCATTGTCCTTGGTGGCATGTTCACTCTTAGCCCTACTGACAACCAACCCAACAATGCTGAGGCAGAGCTGATTCAGCAGCTTCTTTCCCATAATTTCCAAAGCATGTAGGAATGCTGCTACTGCTTTTTGTGCTCTTGTAGGTCCAGGTATGTGTCTGTATGGAGGTGTCCAAGGGGAACAACAAAGAGTTCAAATGGAGAGAAGCTGTAACAGCCCGAGCTGGGGTGCACTACCTTGAGGTCTTGCCTTTCAGAATAAAATACACAAATCCAGGTGTCTTTAACCAGAACCCAGAACCTATCACTTTCCCAGGGCCAAACTTTGGAGTGGACATCCCACTGCTTGCTGAGGTCACCTGCCCAAGCATGGGGCAGCAGCAAGGGCCCAGGGTGCCACAGCAGGGCAGGCAGCTGCAACTAAGAAATAATGAAATCCAAGGGCATCACAGACCTAGGATGTCCCTTCCCTGCCAAGAGCCACCTTGCTCCACCTCGTGCCTGTAGCCATGTCCAGTTACGTACTGGCAGCTGCTGGGGGTCCTGCACACAAACCTCTCCCAGGACCTGCACCAGTGGCATCCCTAGGGAGCCAAATTCCTCCTCTGTGGGCTCCCTCCAGGTTGAGGATGGTGCCTGGTGGCTTCCCCAGAGGAATGGGTGATCACTGCTAGACCTTGTCTCACTGGATATCCCCCATGGCATTACAGTGGGTCCTGACAAGGTCAGCATGAGCCCCTTGGAGTGTCCAGCCCAGCAGCAGACAACTCCCACTTCTGTAACACCTGGAAGTGTTCAGAAAACATGTGGATGTTACTTGAGGACATGGTTCAGTGGGGAACATGGCAGTGCTGGGTTAACGGTTGGACCAATGATCTTATTTTCCAACATTAACGATTCCATGATCCTCCAAGCCCACGCTGCTTAAACCGCATCCCCTGCTGTCCAGCTGGGAAAGGGAAAAGGGGCTGGAAATCAAGCCCACACTTTTTTTGGGGTGAAAAAACAGAGCTGCATTTGGGAGGGGGGACGGACACAGACTCCCTTGGGCAGCTGCGGGCTGCCTGCCCGCCCCGGCGCTGCCTCTCCAGCCTGTTTGCCTTTCACACGCCGCAAAGAGCTGCCTGGTGCTGCGAGAGCCGTGAGAAAAACCGGCAGGAGGACGGGGGGCCTCTGGGCAGGAAATCGGGAGCATGGGAGCAGCTGGGAGACGCTGTGAGGGCCCGGGCAGGAGAGGCCCCCGTGCTGGGGAAAGGCAGCAGCTGGGGCCGCAGCCCCCCTGGTTCTGCACATTCCTGGAGGAAACGGCATTTTTGGGGGCAGACGAGCGCCTGGGAGAAATTCCAGGGCTGCCTTTGGAGTGCGGCGGTGGCTGAGCCGCTGGGACCCGGTGCTGCAGCGGTGGTACCGGGGAGCGGGGTTTTGGTGGGGTGGCTCTTCCCTTTGGGCTTGGGAAGGCACCACCATAATTTGCAAATGTGCCAAGCTCCAGGCTGGGAATAGTCCAGGGGGATCCTGTGGGTCCAGCTCTGGTTTGGAGCCCAGGCTCTGCTTGCCTTGGGGCGTGGGTGAAGGCTGAGCTCCTGGGGAACCAAGTTTGGGCACCTTGTGCCTCAGTTCCCCCCCTGTAGAGCTGCCTCCATGGAGGTTTTGGCTGGGTGCTGCCAGAGGGGTCTGCTGGCAGCATCAGGCAGTGCCTGTGCCCTGCAGGAAGTGGCATTTCCCGAGCCTCACGTACGGCTGTGCAGAGGGAAACCGAGTCATGTCCGTTCCATGGTCTGCCAGAGGGTCATCTCCCGTTAGTCACCGTGTCCCTGATGGAGTCACGGCCACCGCCTCACTCCAGGCAGCTCCACAGGCTGCGTGCCACTCCCTGTCCCACAGCAGCACAATTTTTTCCCCTTGAGGACCTGATCTTGCCAAAGCCCTCCTGTGTATGGGCATCCTCAGCCCATCCTGCCTTGGGGTCTGTCCTAGGGATGCTCTAAGAGGGGGCAAGTGAAAATGTGCCCCAGGGCCATGCTTCCCCCCCTCCCTGCATCAGGGAACATGCTGTTGCCATGGCCTGGCGGGAACAGACTGTCCCCATCCCCAGGGATGTGCCGGTGCAGGAGGAAGGGCTGGGGTGTGGCACTATCCTGGTCCCGCTTCCGCCCACCCGCCCTACAGCAGAGCCCGGTCATGGGGATGGCTCCAGCAGACAGCTGCTCCCCGAGCTGGGGGCTGTGGAAGGGCTCTGAGTAGAGTGTGGAGGGGCAGAAATGCCCCTGATGCCAAGAGCTGCTCTGGGCATTCTCCTGCCTCAGTTTCCCTGCTGAACAGCAAGGCTACACCCATCATCAGGGCAGCACCAGAGGATGCAAAAGAGCATTTGGCCCTCAATGTTAGGGACCCAAGTCCCCGCTGCCCAGATTCAAGACCCCCAGGTGATCCACACATGTTCCCCGGCTGTTTGGCTCCCAGCCACGCTGGCTTGGGACCTAAGCAATTTCTACAAGCCCCATGAACCCTCCTCGAGGTCCCTCTGCCTCTGCTGGGGCTCTGCTCACCAAAGGATGTGGCAGGGCCACCAGCCCCCCAAACATCCGAGCCTCTGACCCCCCGAACCAGCCGCAGACCCCAGTGCCGTGTCTGCTGAGGTTTCGGCAGCTCTTTCCATGAACAAACACCGCCGCGGGCCTCGGTGGCCAAGCAGCGACTCCGGCAGCATCTGCGGTGAAGCTTTGTGCCCGCCCCAAGCAAAGCCCCGTCCCAGCCTCTCCCTCCTCATCCCCTCCGCCGTGCCTGGGTGCGAGGGGTGGCCGGAGGGCCGGGACCCCTTACCTGCCCTGTCCCAGGGTGGGAAACCTCCTGCCCACCGCTGTCATCGGCCCTGCGCGGTCCAGCGAGTGCCTCTGCTTCGGGATGGGGAGAAACTTTCCCGGGCGCTCTCCCGCCTTGCACTGAGCGTCGGGACTTTGGGGCGAGCAAGGCTGTGGCGGACCCTCCTCCTTCCCGTCCCAGCCCTCCTCCGGCCCTCCCTTCGCGGCCAGCAGGAATGTGTGGCCGGCACAGCCTGGCTTCCACTGCCGGCACGAATTTCTCCTCCTCACTCTGCTCCTGGGGCCACCCAGACCTCCCGAACACTCGGTGCCAGGGAAAGCAGCCCCCAGCCTCAGGGCGGTGCAGGGGGAACGGGGGCGTCGGGGGCCACCTGAGTGCGGGGAGAGGCCAGGGGAGGGGTGGTACAGCGGGACCTTGTTTTGGGGACAAATTTGGAGTCATTGCCTTCACCCGTGCCCCCAGTCCCACACACACTGCTGGGCAAGGGGATAAAAATCCCTCTGGCTGATTCTGAGACCAAAACCCTCCAAAAAATCCGACCCTCATCTGAGAGGGCTGAGCCCCCAAATTCCCCCAGAGGGTGGGATTGTGGCCAGAGTGGGCGTTTACTGGCAGGTGATGGAAATGGGGACGGGGCATCTGTTTTCAGGATTTACCCCTGTGCCTTGGGAGCGGCAGTGCTGCTCGGGAGAAGGGGGGAAGGATAGAGGGGATGGAAAAGAAGAGAATGAGAGGTGGTGGAGGCTGGGACACTGCTGGTCTGAGCTCTCGGCAGCACATCAGGACGCTGGAACGCAGCCGCCGCGGGACAAAGGGATGCCGGGGCCGAGCGAGGCTGCGAGATGTTTCCACCCCGTCCGGAAACAGGAGGGAGCAGAAATCCCACAGGAAACCTCGCTCCCATGGAGCCGCTGACCTGGCCATGGTACGAGTGCTCCGGCCGTGCCGTCCCGCCGGCCAGGTGCTTCCCGCTGGCCCTGCAGGCAGGGAGGGGCATCACAGCCACCCTCTGTGTCCCAGCCCCCTCCCCTTGCCCCGCGGGGGCAGAAAGGGGGTCTCAGCAGCAGGCAGAGCAAACCCAATGGGGATGTACCTGTCTGGGGAGCTCTCATCGGGACATTTTTGCCCGTTCTCCAGCAGATTCCTGTCAGCAGTCTCCACTCCTGTTGTCGTGTCAGGGCTTGGGTCGGGATTCGGTGCCTCTGTCCGAGGCTTGGACAGAGGGGTCTGGCTGGGGTTCATTGTCTCTGTCCCAGGGCAGGAGACATTCCCCAGAGGCTCCTGGTCCGTCCTGGCTGTTGCTGCCCCCAGAGTGTCCACGGGCTGAGTCTTTTCCTCCTCCTGATCTGCTTGTCTGGCAGCTGGAGGTGAGTCTGTGGCTGGGCCAGGGGGGCCAGACATCTTGGGGGACTTGAGGTTGGGGAGCGGGGCTGTCTGGGGGGTTTTGTTGCTGGGAGTCCCTTTCTCCTGGCAGTTCTGGCCACTCTTGGCTTTGCCCAGGCTCTTCCCTGTCTTGTCCAGGTTCAGCCTGGGCATGGTGCCCATATGGCTGTACATGTCCGATGATCGGGCATAGGGGCCAGGGCTCTTGGGCATGGTGTTGAGGTCATCCTGGATGCTGTCGAAGGGCTCCTCCAGGAAGCCGTGAGGAGGAGGGAGATGTGGCCTCAGAGTCTCGGGACAGCTGGGGACCACGGATGTGCGTCGGAAGGTGAAGGAACGGGGGATGCTGCTCAGGCTCCCAAACCCTTTGAACTTGAAAAACTCTGGCAAGGAGAGGGGAGAGATGAGCGTGGGGTTACTGCCTGCACGGTGTGATGGTGGGGGGTCCTGGAATCCCTGGTCCTGGGTTGGGGTGGGCGTGGGGCACTGTACAGCCTGGTGTCACACTGTTACACCCAAATCTGCAGTCCCAGCCCAGCATGACATCCCTGTGGCCTGGGGGTGTGTGCTGCTCAGGGCATCACTGCTGGGCCCTGGCAAACCCTAGCAGGTTTCCCCACCGCAGTTGCAGGGGTGGAGGAGGAAGCACCCAGCCCTGGCAGCTCAGAAATGATTTCAAATCTTTTCCTCCCGCCCTCTGCCTCCCAGGGCACTTTGGGCAGGGCTGTGCCCATCTCTGTAGCATCAGAGCAGCTCTGCAGGATGCAAGCATGAGACACACTGCATCTCCCCAGGGGATGGGGGTCCTGGACATGTGTGACCTGCTCACATGCGCGCTGCAGAGCAGGAACCGGCCACAGGCGCTGCCGGCTGCGGGCGGGAGAACAACCTCCCCACTTCCTCACCCGGCCCCTCGCAGCCTCCCTGCACCTCCAGCTGCCACCTGCAAGTGCTGAGCACGAACAAAAATATTTATAACTCGGGCGGGTGGCTTTGCATTTCACACCTCGGGCCCATCTTGGCTCTTCGTGCTGCTGCAGCGCAGCCTCCACCGGTGCCGGTGCTGGTGCCGGTGCCAGCACAGGGATGGCAGCACAAGGTGGGGTGAAGCAGTTGTGGCCACAGTGCCATAGAGCAGCGTTTCCCTGTCAGACCCCGGGTGCCTCTGGGGGTTTTGCAATGTTGGTGCCGCCATGGGGCTCTGCAAAGCCTCTTCCCCTCTGGTCACCATGGATTTGCCGGGGCAGGAAGCGGCTGCGGAGGTGCTGAGCAAGGACCTGGGTGTCAGGGAGCTGCTCAGGCCTTGGGAATCCCACCTCCTGATGCCATCCATGGGCCCTGCAGGGCATCCCTGCAGCCGTTGCAGAAACCTCATGGCCAGAATGCAGTTAGAGGCAAAATTGCTTTGGGTTAAACATCCCCTCAGAGTCCAAGCATCCTCTGCTGCCTGCTGCTCCTGGGGCTGCTGTGGGGTGGCAAAGGCAGTGCTGGGGACTTTCCCCATCTCCCCTCTCTCCACCACATAGGAAAATCCCAGCTGGGATGGGGCTGTGGGTTTTGCCAGTGGAGGGGTCCCAGGGGAGTGGAGGGATTGGCCCCCCTCTGGCGCCGGCATCGTGGCAGGAATGCAAAGAGCACAGCAGAGGCCAGCTTCTGTGCAGCTCAGTGCTGGGAATAGGGTGAAGGCCACTGCCCCGGGGCTCTGGGGGAAAGCTGAGGTCTGTGAGAAAGAGCAGAGCTCCCTCCCGGTGGGTACCGAGCACTTCCTCCCAGAGCAGCTGGTGGGAATCCCTTCCCAGGCTCCCACCCCGGCTCCTCTGTGTCACCCCCATCCCTGTGCTGCAGGAGCACCCTGGGCTGAGGGTCCACCAAGCCCCCAGCACCAGCTTGTACCCCAACCATGCACCCTGCAGGGTGTGATTTGGGGAGTGAAGAACCCCAAACCCTGTTGTGCATCCCTCTGGGTGCATCCTGGCCCAGTGCAGCGCTGGGCTGCAGCAGACTGGTCCCAGTCCCAGCACCCAGCTCCCGAGCCAGCACCCAGGCTCTCCCCAGCCCTGGGGATGGAAACCCCCAAAGCCCCTCACCCCAATGAGTTTCCTAACAAATGCAGAGCCTACCTCAGCTCCAAACATCCCTGGGTGGGATGACCCAGGGAGCGTGTGAGCACACACAATCTCAGACCCAAACTCAGACTCACACTCACAGATTCACACTCACACTCATTCATCCCTCCTCCCTGCCAGGCTGTCCAGGTGAGCTCCCCATCGCCCACCCTGTCCCACGGCCACTTACTGAACTTCTTGGAGGCCCCCCGTTTCTGGCCCTCGGCCATGGCTGCGCCGGTCGGAGGCCGCGGGGACCGAGAGGGACAAGTTTGTAACTGTGAAGCCCTTCCCTGCCCGCTCCTCCCTTCCTGCCCCCCCCCCGCAGTCACTCATCGCTCGCTCGGCGTTTCCTCCCAGTGCTGTCATCTGCTCCCGGCCCCGCTGCTGTCCCTGCCTGCCCTCACGCTGTCCCCAAAGTCCCTGTGGCCACTCGCACATGCCTGGCTGCTCAGGGGCCATGTCTGCACCCTGGGTTGGGGGTGTCTGGCAGGTGTGAACACCCAAAACCCCTAGGTGCCAGCCTCAGAGGAGGTGCCAGCCCTATGGAGGAGGGTGACAGCCTTAGGGAAAGGTGACGGTCCTATGGATGAGGACACCAGCTCTGCAGTTGAGGGTGCCAGCCTTATGGATGGGGGTGACAGCCCTATGGAGGAGGCTTCAGCCCTACGGATGAGGGTGCCAGTCCTGTAGAGGAGGATGCCATCCCTATGGATGACACTCCAGCCCTGTGGAGGATGCCAGCCCTGTGGATGAGATGCCAGCCCTGTACACAGGACTCCACCGTGCACATCTGGGGCTCAGCCCCTGCGGGGAGAGAGCCCCATGGCATCACTGCCGGTGGGCCCTGCCAGGAGCTGTGCTCTCGTGCTGGGGGTCCTTGGTGTGCCCCATGGGAGTGTCTCCATGCTGGACAAGGTGGCCTGGCCTTGGCAGGGATCTGGTGTCCCTGTTGTCCCCTATTCCCGGGGAGCTGGTTGTTCCCATGGATGGGACATCATCAGCCATCCCTGCTAGTGCTCTGTCCTTGTCTCCCTGCACTCTCCACCTTGGGGACCAGTTTCAAACAGCCCCAGACAGAACCTCCAGTTCGTCCTGCAGCTGGACATGGCATAGCCGGAGGGATTGTCTCCATCTGGGCACAGGGGCAGGAACTCAGGGTCCCCTGCCATCAGCCCCCCAGTGTCCTCCTGCCCTGGCCACGGCATCCCCATGCCAAAGCATCGGGGTGCAGGAGCAGAAGTTCTGCTTAACCCCTGACGCGCTTAAGCACAAGCGGGGGGCACAAAAACACTCTTTAGGACAACGCGGAGGGGCGCGGGTGACACCGGGGACAACATGGCGGGCACCCCTGCGGACTACAACTCCCAGGGTGCCCCGCGCGGCGGAGGAGCGGGTCACGTGGCGGAACGGGCGGGCCGCGGTGCTGTGGCAACGGCGCGGCCGCCATGGCCAAGCAGTACGACATGGTCGAGTGCCCCTTCTGCGACGAAGTCTCCAAGTACGAGAAGCTCGCCAAGATCGGGCAGGGCACCTTCGGGTGAGTGCCCCACCGGCCACGACCCTCCCTGGCTCCCCTACCGGCCTCAGGCCCGCAGCCCGGGCCCGGCTCCGCGGCCCGCCCGCGCCAGGCCCGGGTTCGCCCTGCTCGGGTGTCCCTTTCCTCGGTCACTCCTCTGGCTCCAGAGAACCACCCTGGCTCGTGAGACCTCTTTTTTCTACCTTGAGGCCCCGCTCACGCGGAGCAGAGTTTATCTTGGAGACAGCTGGGGTGGGGACCTGTAACTCGGCTCAAAATGTGCAACTTGGCTCGAAATTACAGCTTTTTGCCCCAAATGTGCAACTTTTTACCGAAAATGTACAGCTTGGCTCAAAATTACAACTTTTTGCCTCAAATGTTCAACCTTTTGCCCCAAATGTGGAACTTTTTACTCCAAATGTACATCTTGGCTCAAAATGTGCTACTTTACCCAAAATCTTTGTCAGGCTGCAGGAGCTCTTGGCTGTCTCTTGGCTCAGCCAGTCCTGGGGGCCACTGGCCTGAGGGGGATGTGGCTGGGTTGGGTGGTGGCTCAGCACAGAGCTCTGTGCCTGGTACTTCAGTGTCTTGTTTGGTCTTGTTCCTGGTCAGGAGCACCTGGCTCCTTCCGTTTTTTATCCCTCGCGCCGCTCACGGATTTGTTTCTGTTTTTACAGGGAAGTTTTCAAAGCCAAACATCGTCAGACAGGCAAGAAAGTAGCACTGAAAAAGGTGTTGATGGAAAATGAGAAGGAGGGAGTAAGTGTGGGAGCATGGCTGGGCTGTGTTAGGGAAGGCCTGGACTGGGGGGTGAATCTCTAATCCCTGTCCTCTCTTTCTCTCTCCTAGTTTCCCATCACAGCCTTGCGAGAGATTAAAATCCTGCAGCTGCTCAAACATGAGAATGTTGTGAACCTCATAGAAATCTGCAGGACCAAAGGTACTTTGCAGCGTCTCTCTTGTGTTGCTGATGGCTTTTTTTCAGCCCTGCTGAGCAGGCTGGTGTCTTGTGTTGGGACTGGGGTTGTCTAACTGAGCTTGTTGCTGCCTGTGATGGGGGCTAATGGCTCACTTATATTGGAAAAGAGTTTCTCCACCTCCTCACTCCCACCTCATGCCATGTTCCCCCAGTGATGGGTGCTTGGCAGGCTCAGCACACCTGGCCTGGCTCTGTTTTCTGTGAAATTGCTTTAAAACATTCGCTAGAGTTTATATATCATTCCCTTACACGGATTTGTACTGGAAAAATACTTCGGAAAGTGACAGCTGATGTT